AGTTTAGAGTCTAAACAGACTGGTCAGCCGAGACCTATTTGTAGGCCTCCACTTTAAAAACTCTAAAGCGATGCATCAACAAAAAATGAAATGCACACTGTTTTTGGCATCTGTGACGTGCCTTTGCCGTCTACCAGGGAGGTGAGTGGTGTGGTCATGCATTTTTTGTGGTGTTAATGCATTACATTAACACCACAAATTAGAAAACAATCCATACCTTTATCTTTAAGCATTTCTCTTCATCTTCTCTTTTTGTTTTCCGTTTTTCATTCATTAATATTTTCCTAAGTTTTTCCTCAAATTTGTTCTTAAGAAAGGTCCTTAGAAAAAGTCTACATCAGATTCATGAGGTGTTCTTAACCACAGAATTGTTCACATTATTTGCTCTTGGGTGTGTGTAGATTCTGTTCTTACCTAAGAACAAATCGCAAATAAGAAAACATTGGTGAATGTCAGAATCTTTGTGAAAACGTGAAAAAAGTGGGTTTTAAGAAGAAATTTAGAAAGTTTATGAAGAAATTTAAACTGCTTTTATTCATCAGACACATCACAGGTTTTCCCCAAGTCCCTAGGCTTGTGCAGTCAATTTCTTTGATGAATGAAGGAGGTACAAACATTATCATAAAAATTCTAACTCTCCTTTTTCAATGTCTATACTTCCTCATTTTGCCATGTTAGTCTTATATGGTCAACCCCAACCTTGATCGGAAAAATATGAGCAAAAAGCAACACATTTCATAATTTCAAAATCATCATATTAAAAAGCATGACATTTGTTTGTCTGATTTCACTTTTAATTTAGCCTGGCTGCTATCAAACGACTAATACAATGGTTAGAAATCCTACCCTGTTAGGATCCACCCTCTTAGCACAGGGGACCTAATGGTGTGGACATACAGATAACAGTACTAAATCTAAATGGTATATGCATAAATGTACAAAGAGTGATATGCAAAAGTTTGAACACCTCTGGTGTGTTTCTAATTATTTGCTGAGTTAATGAAGCAATATGTAAGATGACGCAACCTGTCAAATTTATACTCCACACAGCCCCTCCTCCACCCTCTTCACTCCTCCCCTGTATACTTACCAGTCTAAAAGAAACTGCGTCAAACTTCATCCCTTTACTCACCAAGAGCTGTCTCCAGTGGTGGAAAGCAACGCCACTGTTAATTCTTGTTTTCCATTTATTCATGTCACTTTTTTTTTTTGCTAGGAGTGGACGTGCCACTTCTTCATCCTCTCATGTTGAACTGATGGCAGACTCAACACTACAGTGACTCATTATTGTCTTTTGAGGTACAAAGTGGTATTATGAGACAAGGATAGGCCAGAGCTAGCAGGTTAGCATGCTAACTTCAGTAGATATCTGGAACATAGTACATAGATGTCTTTGGCATAACATCTAAACTGTTTTTTTACATTCTGTTGATAATTTTAGTTTATTTTGGAATGTTTAAACTAAAAATCTTACAAATTGCTTCTTTAAAATTTCAGAAAAAATAAAAATAAATAAATAAAATGTGCTATAGATATTGCACAGCTATTAGCTTGCTAGCTATTAAATTAAGCAAATAAAGACAAAGCAAGGCAGGCATATAGCACATTTCATACACAAAGACAATTCAACGTGCTCTACATAAAAAGAACATCAAATAGAAAAATAAAGACTGAATAACTGGACATTAACTGGACTAAAAAATAAAAATTAAAATCCAAATAAAATAATTAAATTGATAATTAAAAGGAAATACAAAATACATAAAAGCAAAATTTTAAAAATGAATAAAAATTAGCATATTAATGTGCAGTGCTAAAAATAAAGTGCGTAAGAATAAAGTGCAAGAACTCAATAATGGGTACACGAAAAGAGGAATGTGTTTAACGTAGATTTAAAAATTGTTATATTTTGGGCACATCAAAGATGTTCTGGGAGTTTGTTTCAGTTGTATGCAGCCTGACAGCTAAGTGCTGCTTCACCATGTTTACGAACTCTGGGCTCTATTAGCTGACCAGTATCCATGGATTCTAAGAGACCTACTTGGTTTACATTCTTTAAATATATCAGAGATGTATTCTGGGCCTAAACCATTCAGTGATTTATAGGCTAGTAGAACCACTAAAAATCTATTCTGTAACTAATCAGAAGCCAGTGGAAAGAATTTAGAGTAATGTAGTCTCTTGGCGCAGGAACGGTGGCGCAGTGGGTGGCGCTGTCGCCTCACAGCAAGAATGGCCTGGGTTCGATTCCCGGCCAGGTGACCAGGATCATTTCCGTGTGGAGTTTGCATGTTCTCCCCGTGTCTGCGTGGGTTTCCTCTGGGTACTCCGGTTTCCTCCTACAGTCCAAAAACATGCAGTCAGGCTGATTGGACATGCTGAATTGCCCCTAAGTGTGATTGTGTATGTCTGTCTGTCTGTCTTTCTGCCCTGCGATGAACTGGCGACCTGTCCAGGGTGTATCCTGCCTTCCGCCCAATGATAGCTGGGATAGGCTCCAGCACCTCACCGCGACCCAGAAGGATAAGCGGTTTAGATGATGTATGTATGTAGTCTCTTGGTCCTGGTTAAAACTCCTGCAGCAGCATTCATTCTGAATGAGCTGTATCTATTTAATGGTTTTTTGGGAAGTCCAGTTAAGAGACCATTATTGTAGTCCGCAGTGCTGGAGACAAAAGCATAGATGAGATTCTCTAGATCTTGTTGGGACACCAAATCTTTGTTCTGGCTATATTTTTAAGATGATGCAAGGCTTTTTGGGTGATTGCTTTGATATGGTGAGTAAATGTGAAATCAAACAATAATCTTGCAATAAAATGAGCAGAAGTGTGTTCTTTGTATCAACAAATCAATAAAACACACCATTTGACCAGGGAAGCGTGAACTTTGCATATGTCTATACATTTACTTTAGCCTCATAGCTCCAATTCAAAACTAAAAAAGCAAACTGCAGTAAGGGGCAAGTTTGATTTAGGTCTAACCCTACAAATATCCCATACAAACACAAAGCCTACAATGAAAGTAAACAGTAGGAACACACACATAATCATTCTTCCTCACACTCATAGACATGCTCCAAAAGCATTAAATGACAACCAGCTGACACTGCCGCTGAGATAGCATGTGTAGACGTTAGCGTCACGCACAGGAGGGAAATCGGGTGCAATTTCACTGCCTTTCCCACTGCTCCCAATTAGAGCCAAAGGCAGTGGGATCCCTGTAATCACACACCATGCCACTGTGTTCCACAGCCACAGGCAGCCAGAGGACCAGGTGTGTGTGTGTGCGTTGGTGCGTGTGTGGACTATCTTAGGATGACTAAGTAATAGCCTCATAAATCTACTCATGCATTAAGCATAGCCAAGCTAAGAGCCACTGGGCGAAGCTGGCTTTGCACCTGCTGCTCCTGCACACACACATCCAATATGAATATTGTGTGCAGTCTGTCTACTGGTGTTCAGAGGTGTGTTTTTTTGTGGAATTATAATTAGTGTCCCAGAATTAGTTTTCGTTTGATTAGGCAGGGGAAATGGGCCCAGGTGCAAGTCCACACATTGACCATGCCCATGTAACACACAGGTTTGTCAGGTTTGTCATACAATGTCAGCACATAGGGTCATATATATGTGCAGCACTTTACTCGCTAAATAACATTGACATTAACAAAGCCATAAACATGTAATGGCATATGACATATGCTGTCATGAGTTGTCATGACAAATTTTGCTCAGTAGTATAACAGTAATATTACCATTACCAGTAGTCATGACAGAGTGTGCTGTGCTGAGAACACTCTTTATTTATTCAATTTCCACTCAAAATTATTTTAACATTAACAGTATCAAAAGAGCGTCATGAAAAAAAGCAGAAAACATATTTGAAAGACAATTACACAACTACAGTGTGTCAACACTTGGCCTTCTTTTAAGGAGACTTTCTTTCAGTTTTGCAAAGAAATTTACAGAGAAATTTTTCCATACACTCTTCATTTCTTCACTCTAACTTCGTTTTTTGAAGTTGGTTACATTTTGTTCTTTTGACAATCTAGTCCAGTGTTCTGAGAACACCGCCAGCTTCTTTATTTGATTTGCAAATTTTACCCTTTTTTTTCTTTTCTCAATAAGGGCTTCTTAACAGCTACACATCTTTTCAGACCCATAGCGTTGAGTTGTCTACTCACAGTGGAAAGATTGACAGAAGAACTTGTGGATTTTTCAGATCTGAAACAAGAGTGGAGCTTGATTTTCTCCTATCTCTGTTCCTCTTTACTGGATTATCTTATATAAGAAGTAAATGGAGCTGAGGAAGAGTGGTCTCTGTCTTTTGAACAGTATTCTATGTCGTAATGTTTGATGTCACGACAGTTTATGTCACATACTAATTTTTGTTGTGTACTCTAGTTAACTACCATCATGACATCTGTCAAGACAAAAAGTAACATGACTCTGTTATCTTACCAAAGAAATTCTGACAACTCATGACAGTATGTGACATCTGTCATTATACATTTACAGCTTGGTTATGTATCAAGTAAAGTCTTACCTGTCATAGTGAACTTACTTTAACCTCAGTCAGTAACCAAAATGAAATGGTTCAACCGTGTCAGTTTTATAAATATGAATCATGTAGCCTTTGTATAAAGTAAAGTCAGGAACATTTTGGTAATGATAAAAGTTAGTTAGCCTTGTTCTTTTTTTTTTTTTGGTTTTTCTACGAAGTCACATTTTTGTCTTGAAAATGAATGAAACAAATACAATCATACATTCTCTCTCTCTCTCTCTCTCTCTCTCTCTCTCTCTCTCTCTCTCTCTCTCTCTCACACACACACACACACACACACACACACACACATACACACACGCACAAACATGCACACACACAATTGCACCTGTTCCATTGACTAAGATAAAATGTTTATGTTAAGATCTTTCTCGAATTCTATCAGCATTTCAAATTCAAATTTAAACTTGATAGACAAAAGTAATGAGTTTCAGACACCGCAGTCTTAGCCATATTTTATTTTACAACACAGTATTGATTCATCATTAAGCAATCTGAAAATACAAACAAACTTATATCTGCACTACAAAGGAATAGTAGATGTTTTGTGTAAGCATGAACAGACAATGTTATTAGCATGATAAGCAAAATGTAGCTAATTGTCTCTGTGTAGTTAAGAAGTTTTCTTATTACCGGGACGAATTGCTGTTCTCATTCTTTTAATCATCACATTCAGGTGGTGATTTTTGAGCAAAATTAACAAAGTGGCACTGGCCATAATATACCATAGCATACTTTTCATTTGTTTAACTCTAAGCTGATGAGTGATGATCGTGATGAGAACGGCCTTCGTGCCCACGGTCTCCATGCTGACCACGACCATGGTGACCACGACCATGGTGAAAGTGGCCATGGTGACAATGTCCATATTGACAGTGACCATGGCGGTGGGGTCCACGACGATGACCAGTATCATTGCTGTCAAATGAGTGGTCATCCTGGCTAGATTGCACAGGGCTGTGAGATGCTCTGCCATCTTGATCATGATGATGATGGTGACCATGATGATGGCCATGACCGAAGCGGGGACCATGACTGTGAGAGTGAGGATGATGAGGAATCACCTTGGACTCAAGAATCACATTTTCACTCTCAGTGCAGTTGAGGCATATGGAGTTAATGAAATTGCCAATATCTAACATGACAACTCCAACACCACCAAACCCCTTCTGCAGCAGCCAAGACACCTGTGAATATACGGTCACAGTATGGGTCAGCTGGACACTCGCTTTGCCATGTAATTAAATTATTCTGCATAGCTGTCCCTACTAACAAATGACCTCCAAAAAGACCTCTAGATCAACTCATGTTTTTAAATGATAGTTTTTTGCAAACCAATATGGTCATCATTTTAAAAAATGCATCATTTAATCTACTAATAATTTAGAGTACTAGACACCATATTAAAATGTTGCTTTTTTATCCTGTTAGCATAGTTTAGATACATTAAAGAAATGTGTGCTTACTTCCTGATAATGTAATATAGCTCTCAAAGCTACATGCAACCAGTAAGCTGTTACATTTCTTCAAGTTTGTTAGCATTTTGCTACTGTGTACGATATGTTATATTTAATTGTATGTGTAATTACAGACCTATTATTAGGCTATTATTATTTATATCTACTCTTGTGCAAAATCCAAGGAGTTGACAGGGGAATATGTCCACCATATTTTTTGGAATGACACAGTAAATTTTTGGTTGGTGGACTGTGAAAAAAAGGCACATAGCCTATATTATTTATGAAATATTTGTAAGAATTATGTTTTTCATCAATTCCCCCTTACCAGTGATACTACATTCCCATTGCATGTGAGGGTGTATGTGCAAGTGAAGACATGAGATGAGGGGATGGAGTCTAATCCCGGACTGCATTTTCCCTGCAATGGAGAATCCGCATTCAGGATCCTGTTTAGTTCCAGAACTAGGCTTAAAAGGGAATTTTTTATTTTTTTATTTTTTTCTAAATTTCTGTATAATACAGTTATAAAGATGTAAACAAGGTCATTCAGAGTGGATTAACTTGAAATGCGACATTTTAGAGAAATGTAACAAGACAGAATTGTGCACAGTGGTGTTGATAGGAATCAGACATCTGACAAGTTTAATGCCTCCAAAAGCTCCCTTACAGACATTTACCATACAAAATGGTTTTGAATTAACAGCCTGATGCCTGAGACATTGTTTTACAAAAGTTTTGACCTGAGATGTATTTTTTTTTAAATACACATGGACATGCATGCACATGCAGGGTGTCCTATGGCAAAACAGTCCTCAAGGAAAGTGTATTTTTTCTATTGTTCAGTTTTACCACTAATCTTCTACATTACACATAAATACTCAGAAGACACATGTAAGTTCACTGATGGCTTTGGATAGTAAATAAAAGGGCTGTATTTGTGTTGTAGACATCATGACCCCCTATTGCCACCACTGTAAAGAAATCTAGAGTCCGTAGGTTCCTCTGCAAACAAAACAATTCACATCAAACTACTCTGAATGATTTTATTTATCTCTCAACAACTGAATTATGCAGAGGTGTAGAAAAATCTATGGATTTCCCCTTTATCATCTGTCTGGGAAACTGACCCTAAATGTGCAGTTAATGTAACAGAATCCAAATATGAAGCACAGACCTGCTCTGAGATTTACTTATGTATTACTTAAGTATCAGAAAATACACACACACCAAATATATATATATATATATATATATATTATGGCAAGCCAAACAGGAAATCTTGAATAAACATTGACATATATATATATATATGGAATGAACATTGTTATATATACAATGAACTTTGATATATATGGAATGAACATTGATATATATTGAATGAAAGTCGCTGTTGAAGGGTTGAGGATGGCCAACAAAACTGTGATTCAATCAGTGGGCATTAACAAACTCCAGGTGGAGCTTAAAGGAAGGGAATTCTGATAAAGTGACCAGCATGTATACACAGTGATCCCTTGGACAGAGTGATCTGAGAGTGGCTGATATATGATGTGAAGCTACACATGGGTGGATCTTCAATATATACATAATTTGACATGGTGCAGAAGAAGAGTCAGATGGGGCCATAATTTCTCTTTGAAAAATGCTCTTTTACTGAGAGCAAGGGAAAGCAACAGAAAATTGAGGTAGGTCACTCCTAGCCCTACTCTTTCTTCTGATGGTCACCAAACACAAACGCACTCTCACTAACACATACACACACTGTAACTGAAGAACAACAACATAACAACGTAAACAGTCTATTTAGCAGGTGGGGGAGGGCCAAGGCTGCAACACACACAACCCCAAAAGTCCCTCTCTGTCTGAACAAAACATTTTATAAATGATATTATTAAATGTTCATTGTATACATATCAATGTTCATTCCATATATATCAAAGTTCATTCCATATATATCAAATTTAATTAAATATTTCCTGTTTGGCTTGCCATAATATATATATGGTGGGAGGGTTAATATTTATTTACAAACCTTTACAAATAATGACTATATGGTACATCAGAATGTAGGCAAAGTTTATTCAGCAACCTATTTTCATTACATTGGTCACCCCTCCCTCCCCTTGACAATATAGCATTTTAGCATTTTGATGCCTGTTTTAAATGTAATAGCTGTAGGTTTGAAAACTAGTGTTCTACGTTCACTGTCTGCTAGAATTATTAAGATTCCACAAGCATTGTCCTAAACTTACCTCTTCTCTAAGGGTTTGAGCACTCTCAAGTTTTGTTATAGTCTTTAACTCGGTTTGTCCACTCTTAATGGCCTGGCAGACCTGATGGGAAACAGCACAAATTCACCATGATGAGCAAGACCAAACAGACCACTTCGAATCGCCTCGCCTAATTCTCCTATAAGCCATCAAATGTCCATCTAGATTACCTGCTTGGCAATCATCAGCCCAGGACCATAGGGCTGCTCCACCTTCTCTGGATTTAGATCTATAGTCTCTGGACGTCTCCCATGCTCTCTTCTTCGAGACCGCCGTAAGAATGCAGGCAGAGCCAAGATAAGCTTTTTGGATTCCACCCCTTGCTCCTGCCAGTACTTGACTGCCCTCTCCTATGTGGAAAGAGAGTAATATCAATCATATTAAAGTTCTCAGATTTAGAGAATCATCTGGAAAGACATTTTAATAAATAAAAATGGCCCCAAAACAGTAAAAATGTTAAAGTAAACAAACAAGTGGGCATACCATTTGTGGCTCATCCTTAAGGCTAGCTGGCAGCACGGAGATAAAGTCCACATACCTAAAACAAAAATAATATACCAAATGTAGAGTGCAGTTGGACTGGTTGTTATAACAATGTTTATAAATATCGTGATAAATTAAGTCACAATATACTTACTGAGCAAAGCATGGTTCAGCAGTCTTCAGTACTTAAAGAACCCTGATCAACTGCAGGTTTTATTACATATAATCATTCCTGTTTAACTGGATTCAGTGCAATGCTAAGCTGATTTTAAAATCCAGAGAATTTACTTCATCTGATAAATATTCCTCAACTGAACAATAAAGAACTTCTGAAGCAACCTTGTATTTTCTAAATTACTTCTAAATGTAACAGTGTGAGATGATCTATTGTAAGTAACGCAAAATAACACACTTCCCAGAATGCACTTCACTTACTGTGACAGTGTTTCTGCACCATTGTGGGTGCTAATTTGGTCACTGAGGTCCGGAAGAGTCACAGAAACAAGTACAGACTTGTTATAGAGGTCAGCATCTTCTTCAATCCATCCCTTCAGTTCCTGCCACAGAAATATAAATAAATATTTATTAATGTATAAAATGTAGTTGTTTTTACTTTTAACTCATTATAATCTGAAGAAATCATTTCTTGCCTTAAGTAAACTTCTTAGAGTCTCTGTGGTCTTGAGAGGTTCATCAGAAGCAGTGTTCTCCACCCATGTCACCTCTATTCCGTCGTAGTAATTTTTCTCCTTCAGATACTTCAGTGTGGATTCAATGAAGTTATCCAGATTAGCCTGATTTTGGGTCAGTATCTCTAACCTACAGAAAAACGATTGCTTCCAGATTAATGTTTGAAAGTGACAAGAGAGCTCCATCTCTGAAGATCTGTATTCTAAATACCTTGACTGTTTGACCTCCACACCAAGCAAAGTCTTCAGAGATGGGTTCCTGCAGAAAGTTATGCAGTGTTAGTTTTACTGCACTCAATTTGTTATAACTTTTTCAAAGAGATGGCAATGATTCAATATCCAGTGTTCGTACTAGGCAAATACGAACAGAAAATGCATTCTGATTCTGTGACAAATCTAGACTGAAATATCACAGAATTGTTTGTGGTGCAAAATAAAAAAAATAATAAAGCAGGTCATGTAGGCACTTATAGCCTAATGTCAACATAAGAGCAACATAAGAGCAACAAAGAGCAAGCTAACTTAGTATTATATATATAATAGTATGTTAATTTCACCAAACCATTCCATTAAGTGAACTGTTTCAATTAAAAATAATAGTTTTTAAAATAAAAAATAAAAAACAGCAGCTTGGTATCAGAATGAGCCCATAGTTTCAGTATTGGAAAAGAAAAATAGGATGGTGCAACCACTACTTTCAATGCAGTTCAAATAAGTACAAATTGTTAAAGAATGAAAAATTGGCAGGGCAGACCTCTCTTTTACTGTTTTCAGTGAGGTGCAACCAGTATCTCTATCCTGGGACGTGGTTTTGAAGCTGGAGTCATCACCGAGGTAAGCAGAGGAGGAGATAACATGGGTGCAAATGGAGGGGCTGATGTGGTGGAACAGGCGCTGCGTGGATGCGTCCACATAACAGGCCACGCTGTAGTCACTCTGAGCAGAAACGGCTTATAAGGAACAGGAATACATCCGATTAATAATGTTAATCATCCAGGGATAATCTAACATTGGATTTGTATTCATGAAAACCATTAGCTGACCTAGGATCAGGCTTCCCTGTACTACATGACGTATGTGTATAAGAGTGTATCCAATCCTACGTCAATAGGCCTGAGCTAAGACACTTAACAGAAACACTTGTTCACTGAATGTGCTGCATAACACTTTTTTCATGCACACAGCAGCAGAAGTGGATAGACTGGCCATAAAACCACACCCAAGTGAAAGCAGAAGTCAAAGTAGCTGGCAAAAACACACTCAAAGAACTATCAAAGTACTGAGTTCCCTATAATACTTAAATTGAATCTGTGCAAATCTAAAAAAGCAAATAAATAACCAAATGAGAGGAATTAGGAATTAATGACTCAACTGAGTATACATAGTTTTGAGCAAAAGCAAACATATCATTTCAAGGTCATTTGAAGTCATTCAAAGTAGAAAGCCATCAAAGTTTCACTTATACTAGGTAAATGTAGTTAACCAGCTCTGCTCTGCAGAATGTTAGCATTATATAACACTGTTGTCTTTACATAAAGAGATCCAAGTTATGTAACAGAAACACTAAAAATGAATGCCAGGACTCACCTGCTGGTATCACCAAGAACAGACAGGCAAACACTAAAAAGAGAGAGTAAATGGAACGACCTTTAATTACTGCAGAACAAATGCAATATGCCACAAGAGGCCATGCATTAGTTGTCACGACTTGCTTGTATAAAAGCGCAGTATGATATATAGTGGGATACAAAAGTCTGAGAACACATGTAAAATCTGGAAATAAACAACAGAAATTTTAGTATTTCGAAAAAATTTAAAAAGTTTCATCAATCAAGTAAAATGAAGAAGAAAGATCCAGATGCTGGACTATTTCTTGGATTATTTCCTCTTCAAAGGTAAGCAATTTTGTGACAATGACCATGCTAAGGCCTTTGTACAAAAAGGTCTGAGTCCCTTCTATTTAGCAAATCTCAGGTGCATTTGATCTACTTGTCACAGACTTTTGCACAAACTAGGAGTTCTCAGATTTTTGTAATAACTTTTTAATTGATATAAAAGTAAAATTCCATTGTAATAAAATACTGCATGCTAACAAGCATTAATTGCTCAAAAAACGTAATTGAACAAGAAGTTATGGTTATCATTTACTAAAAATGCTCACTGCACTAATATAGAATAAATAGCTCACTGCACTAATATAGAATTCAACCAGTTTGTGCAGTCATATGTGGGCATATCAAATAGAACAGTTTCAAACTTTGCTCAGCTAATCAGATTTCAGAACCACGGTCATGAGTTTTATAAAAGCACGTGTAAAATCTGACACAAACTACGTTACAGACTGATGTAGAGACCTGTATCCACAAGCAGCACCACTGTGTCATGTTTTATTTGTCTTGTTTTGTTTGTGTAGGGGAAGTTTGGGGGGCTGATCTAGTTCTCTGCAGACATCAACAAAAGAAAAAAAAGAACAAGCCACATCCTCATGAGCTAGCATGGGACCACTAGAGGCCCACATCAAAACACTATGCTGGCTGACAGTGTAGCCCTGAAGTGTTGTCCCTGTTTTGTGTGTTCTATTTTTTAAAGTCAAGCAAAATACTTTACATAACACCCACATCATTTTCTCTTTTTAAATCATTTCTGCTGTGTCTGTGTGTGTATATATATAAGTGCATAAGTGCAAAACTTATGGCACATCTTACATGTAATTTTTTTACAATAGGTTAAATTCAGCACATAAAAAGAAATTGTCCACTTAAATGTGCAGAGAAATGCCATTTTTTGTTTTGTTCTCTGCAGAGGATATGTACTTATTTTCACTTAGAAACATGTTTGACCTGCGGTATTCAAACCTTTTCATATGACTATATGTATATAAAACATCCACACAATGCACATTTTTATAAGGTGTACAGTTTTACATGTAACCAAAAAGAATATTTTTAAACCAATATAAAAGCATAGTGTCCTTACCCATGAAGAGCTGCATTGCTTGTCTGTGCTTTGGAGGGGATATCAGTCCTAACTGGCTGAAACTGCAGACCGTGCGTTCTGATAAAGTAGTGCTACACACCACATCCTGTACAAACATAGATCTACGTCTGGTATCTGACATGCTCTGATCTGCTTCCTGTGTAAATGTATTCATCATATGTTGAGAAAACCTGTCTGTGCTAAGTGGTGGGCCAAACTGCCCAGTAGTTTACTTTGAATTAAATAATGCAAAACAAATTAATTTGACATCAATTCAAACTTCAAAAACACTTCAAATAAACTTTTACCCTTCTGGGTGTATACTGACTATAATACAACTGCTTTTACTATTTTTATGTTTGTGTAATAAAAGAAATGGAAAGAGTTGGGTTACCATGTTAATGTCTTTTAGTAGGTCATTAATAGCAAGCCTTTAGTTAGTGGCCTGGTAACTATTTACAGTGGTCATCCATAATGCATTAGTGAGCGTGCTGATAATCACTTCCTACAAATAATTATTATTGCAATAGATATTATTAAAATGTGTTTATCAATATGTTTATGATAATAGGTTTATAATTACTATAAATCAAGGGGGGGTTGGTCACAGTTTGGTTATTTACCTGCTCAAACACACCTGATTAGACCTATCTGTGAATTGCCATGGTTCAGTGGGTGTGTTTGAGTGGGAAAACCTCCAAACTGTGTTGGACACCTGCCCTCCAGGACTGGAGCTGTGCACTCCTGCTACAAAACATAAATTATTAACCAGTTTAAGGTAACCCTAATTTTGATGTATTCTGTAATCTTCCATAATTTTCATAAATGACTTTACTCATTTATGTTTGTTAGCATTTTTAAGCATTTATGAACTTTTGTAGACTTTTGTAGTTGTTATTAGTATAGACTGTTGTTAGTGACTACAGACCTCCATAATGCAATACTAACGTTAGGAAAAGGACTGTAAATAATAACAATGACATAAGATCACATAGATGAGTTAGAAGAATCTTCACGTGCACTATTTTATTGGATGTATAGTTGTCCCATTGCTCTCTTTAGACTTTAAGACTATAGGTAAATGCACTACTAGACATTAAATGCAAAAATACTTGTGTAACCATAAAAGATCCCTCAATTCCAGAACAAATACCTTAATTAAAATCAAACCAGGCAGGAATATAAATAAAATAACTATGAAGGACTGTAATAAAGTGTAGGTATTGCCAGGTTAGGTTTGAACTGTTATAGTGAGTCACATTTGACACTAGAGGGAGACAGCCTCTCAGCATAATGCTCTAATATTACAATACTAGCCAACAGTAATCAAATGTTTTGGTCATTGTACATTCTTTTCTTGATGTTACTTTCTTTAATAGCCATTATATCCCATTTACCCTACTTTAGTTAGAATAATTTATAGACTATACATGACTATACAACTGCAAGGAACAGAACTGTGAATGTAAGGTAGCATCTACTCAGCAAAATAAGTTGGCTAATGTTAGATTCACTTACATTTAAACATTGTGGGCATCAGTTTACTTCATAACATCCAATTGAAGACAAGTACACCATTCACAGATTTGAGCCTGTTAGCCCTGTATGACGACGGCAACTGAGCAGCTTAGGGGCTTTCTGTTACCTTCAAGTGTCCTAATGGATTAGCCCTGAACTTGTGCAAAAAGCACACTGCCATCTGTTGAAAGGGAGGGTAGCCCCTGGTCTTTGGCCAAACGTGTTCTCTGACACTTTTCACTTCCAAGAGTAAGTATTTACAAAAACCATGCTACTTTACCTATCCCCATACGATAACCATGAGCCTGATAAGAGGCCAATTCTTAGTCACTGATCCTGACAATGGAAAATGACTAAATGATTAGGCTAAATGAATTGACTTGAACATATTCACAGAACATTTGAAAAGAACCAAGTAAGCTTTAAACTTTTTCATCAGAGTGTCCACTGTTTATTTTGAATCTGTTCAAAAGGAAGTACTGTCTGCCCTCTGCTGGCTAGAACATGAACAACATGCACATAATTACATTATGACCGTCCTCCCAACCCCAACACCTAAAACTTGCTGAAAAAAGCAGCTTTTAAAACAATAATAAAATAGTCTTCTGTACAGTGCAAGAACAGGACATATCTATAACCAGTCTATGTGAATAATTGATTCTTGCTGATGAGCTGTTTCTCTCTGGGTAGTCTCAATTTAGGCCTCACATTCACCAGCACGGTAGACTCCAGTGTTGTACAGTATATTCATAAATTGAGACCTACAGATATTCATATGAATCAGATTTTGTGCACTGTCCTGAATGACCTACAATAAAATGGCTTTCATAACCCAAGTGAATTCTTCTTTGGAACTCTCAAAACAGTTCCTGTTGAAGAAAGAGGAGAGTGATATCAATATGCAGTATAAACTGAAATTGATCACCATCAATTTTCAGATACATGCCTTTCCAACACTACACTTTAAAGGTCTTCCTTTACCTGCTCCAGGTCGAGTTCCTCTTCCTGTATATCAAAAGCCAGCTTCATCCTTTCCTTGTCTGTCTGTGACACATATACACAATGACTCTGCAGTCTGGCAGTACATTATACACAATGCTCTATAGATCTAGATCTTCCACCCTGCTTGTAATAACAATAATGAAAGGTGACTGAAATGCTTTCATCAGTGTTAGACTAAATTTCCTCAAGTCTGAGTAGTGTGTTTACTTTGATAAGATATGACAAATAGATCAATGAAAAAAACAGCAAACTTCCCTGTCCTTGAATTTGCTCTTGTGACTTACTTCTTCCATAGAGCCAGAGGTTAGTGATTTGTGCTGTGCAAACAGGACTGCGTCATGGACAGAGAGGAACAGGTGACTAGGAGTAAGACTGCTTTCCACAAACACGCCTCCAGCCTCCAGCTCCTCAAGCACCTGAGCTACAGCAACATGCACATAGAGAAGGAGCAAGTGGATCAATGTAATTTTATCATAAACCTCCCTACTGATAGCATTTTCTGTGAAATTTTACATCAATGTAGCACACTGCCCTCAGACACAGTGTAAAGATTGCATAGTTAAATGAATAATTAAGCTACAAACGTACATAATTTTTTCAAATAGAGTAAACAGAGCTAAATCTGGCTTGAAATTTTGGTCCTGACCCAAACAATATTAACAAAATTTTGTCCTAACCAGAACCATATCAAGTTTTGAAACTGAAACTGATCTGAGCCCAGCAAAGTTCTACCTGAAACTGAATCAAACCAGCCCAAAGCGCAGAACAAAAACGTGATATATCTAATGACAGCGCTGGTTAAATGACTGTGTTGCAACAATAATAGCAATCATTAGACCACAGACAAATAAAATAATAAATTCAAAAATAATTCAATAATCAGCTGTGCAAAAGTAGATTGAATTTCACTTTAACAAAATTTCCAAAGTTGTTCTTACTCTATATAGGAAAGATCTTAACCTTCACCTGGTTAATCTTAAGGCCCCATCGCTATACATAGAGCAGGGGTCAACATGTGGCTCTTTTACTGCCATGTTGCAGCTCCCCAGCAGAATTAGATTTTAGGTAAAAATAAAATAATCCTCCTTTGCTGTAAAATAAAGCTCTGCTGATTTTTTTCACAGTTTTAACACTAAATAGTCCTAAACACTGGAGTTAATGTAGCCTATATCTGCTAATTTAGTCTTTAACCCTGAATATTGGCGCGCAGACTGCTGGTCACTATAGCAACAAGAACAATCTCGCCTAGCTAGGTAACGAAAAGGCAAAGAGAAAGACTTAAGACGAACAACGATAATTTAGAGACAAATTGACTTATTTGCGTTTATAAGCACTCAGCTGGTTTCCGGATATGTTTAATCTGCAACGAGAAACTGTCAAACACTACAAAGTCTCGAGGCTGAAGTCAGTTTCTTTTTCACCAGCTTCTCATTTTTGTTCATGCTATATGTTTTTGCCAATATCAGCACATTAGCACATACTGAGACATATTTACAGCCAAGATGGTAAAATGGAAATAAAATATTGTGGCTCCCAAGGTGGGTTGATTTTTGTTGAAACGACAAAATGGCTCTTCTTAACATTTGGGTTGCTGACCCCTGACATACAGCTTATAACATATTAAAAATATAAAATCAAATCAAATAAATGTCCTTTTAACCTTTTTTTTTACAGCTTATTGTTTCTCAAATCATGTCAGAAGTTACATATGCAAATATCTGAGATTCCTTAAAAAAATTAATATGGTTTGAGGCAAGTGTGGAATGATTTACACATAGTTAGCTAGCATGATACTGATTTGGCAGCTTTTCTTTACTTTACTGCTAATGCTGCATGACATCTATGTAAGCACTTCACAACAACAGACTTACATAAACATTTAAAAGTTGACAAGTTGACATGTCAGCTGACATTGTTTTTTTCTGACATTAAGTTGTGTCAGTTTAGTTAGAACCAAAGTGAGCATTTTTTGTTTCCCTTAAGTAAAGTGAATTTTATTTTACTATTTGTATGTTTTTACAGATAAGATCATTAACATTGTCACAATGATATACATTAAGCTACAAAGCCAGTTATTATAACATGCTATGTCATTTTACCCAAAAAGGTATCATGACACATCCCAGTGTCAGAAACAATTGACATCATAGGTATTAAGTCAACTTCAAATCAAAGAACAAATGCAGCTTTTATGACAAAGAACGTTTGTTAGTATAGGCATTCCTAAATGTTTATGTAGGCTCAACATAATCCATCACACTGTTCCAGCATTCATCTTTGTAGGTATTCTGCTTGTAATACCTCTTCTGGTATCTTTGACTGATGGAATAAAACCTCTCACCTTGAACATTCGCTAAATACAGGCTGATCCCCAGCATGCTGTAAGTGTTGCTCATCTGCAAGGAAATAATCACAGCTTTGGTAAGATATAGTCAGGATATTTTTTGTGATAATTACGTGGAAAAGGTCACTCACATTTGCAAGCAATTAGCCCTCACTGACACCTGTATATGTCTAATTACTGCAAGCAAATGTTAAAGCGTCACATCCTCAGCATTGTAATCTGAAAAACAATCTAACTATGAA